CAATGACTCACTTATTAACAGTGATTTGCTGCCACCTGCTGGCGGTTTTAATTTCAAATTTCGGCTTTTTATTTTTTTTAATAGATTTTTTTCATTTTTTAAATAATTTAAAATATCAGTATTCATCGTTTTATGTTTAATATATCAAACAAAATATCTCTATATCTAAATATGTCTAATTATATGTCTTATTATCGTCATCGATAAAATCCCAGAAAATATCGAGATATTATTTTTTGTCAATATCGCACACCCCTACGTTGTGGTGGCCTTAAATTTTTATTGTCCTGTAACTTTAAGTGTAGTAAGTTACCTATTAAACTGTCAAATTTTCATAAACAAGCCCTAGAATCCTGGAAGATTGCTTTTAAACATAATTTCTCCCCGCACACGTGTATTCTTTGGAACAATGAAAATATATTGTCTGGTAACAAATCACTCTGTTTCATTGAATGGGTGAATCAAAATATCTTTTTTGTTTCTGATTTGTTCAATTCTGATGGGGACCTTCTTTCCTTTTCTGATTTTGTGTTTTTGAAAGGTGCATCAATCTCACTAAGAGATTTTAATAAGGTGACTAAAAGTATCCCTGTCAGTTTAAAAACTTTGTTTAAAGCGCATTTATGTTATGGCTGTGTAAACAACCATTTTCCTACACTTGCATTTAATGGTGTTTATGTATTAGATAAAAAATGCAATAACTTTTTTATTAGAAATGCTCTTTCTTCAACCCCAGGATGCCCCTCTAAAGCACAATCTAAATGGAGGATTTGTTATCCGAACTCTGAATTAAAAAACTTATGGACCTTTCCTCACAGGCTATTTATCCCAAGTAAAATTAAAGAACTCCATTTCAAAATTGCTCATAGATACTACCCTTGTAATTTATTTTTGAGCAGATTTTCTGAGAATATATCCTCAATGTGTTCATTTTGTAATACTGATGGAAGAATCTATTCTACATCTGTTTTATCATTGCCCATTCACCAAGTCTTTTTGGTTAGAAGTTATCATGTTCATTTTTTCCTGCTGTAACAAAATGATAGAAATAACAGAATCTATCATTTTTTTTGTCAGATTTTCATTTCAAGGACATTAATCTGGAACATATTGTTTAAGCCAGAACCATTCATTGCAAACCTACCTTTAGAATGTTTTCATCTGACATAAAGTCCCTTTTTACTTCTTTTAAGAATATGTCAAATCCTTTGAACTCAAAGGCTTCTAAAACTTTTAACATTCTTGAGTCTATTGTAAGCTATCTTTAAAAGACTTTAATTTCTTTCTTTTTTTTCTCCTTCTTTATCATTGGTATATTTTGTTAATTTGTGTAGCTTGTCTAACTTCATGTGATGATGTCCGTTAGCCCCATGTTACTTCATAACTGTTGTTATTCTTTCAATTGCAATGCAATAAAAAAATTAAAATAAAACTTTGCAGCTCTGCCAATCTACTGTAACACAATATCATAACATCAACAAACATAGGCTAATCCAACGGTTATCATCCAATATAATTAAACAGCCTGAATTTACTTTTCCATGGTGTGTTAGATGCTTTATTTATTATGTTTGAGCAGCTGATTTCCAGGCACAAACTGCATCACAGGCAACTGTAAATGCAAAAGAAAGTGATGACAGTGCTAATCATTTCTGCTTTATTATACAAACAAACTCTCAAATAGTTCTGTGCTCTGAGTGGTCAATTTACTGGACATGACCATGGTGAACGTGATTTCACCAAGTACAACATGTTCCTGGATCAACATCCTTGTTGATCCTGGAACAACATTCCTATCAACCAATCAGAATTGAGGGATAACTTTTCAGGAAATATCTGTTTTAGGCTTACAATCAGTGTTAGGCGCTTCTACACCCTTGTTAATCAGCTATCATTTCACACTGATTTTAGGAATAAATGATGGGTAGGGTTAGGTTTGGGGGTAGGTTGGGTTAAGTCTATATTTATGGACAGTTATGTTGATCCAGGATCAACAAAAGATGTTGATCCAGGTCAGGAACATGTCTTACTTGGCAAAATCACGGCGACCCCATGACCATATAGCAAGTATTTGGACTGTAAATAGATAAATATTAACCATTTCATCTTTCAATAAATATTTTCTTACCAGAACATAACCTAAATATTCACTCAGAACGCTACGTTTCCCCCACTCGCTATTTTTAGGGAAACTGCGCCCCCTTCTGTTTAAATCATGCACCAGCATCTGAAAATGTAATATAGATGAAACAAATATTTTTTCGTTATCAAAAAAATAAATATTTTTACTGTTTAAAGTGCATCCCTGTAATATTTTGTTCTGCCTCACATATGTTAAAGTGCAGAATCTCAATGATGTGTGAACATTATTAAAGGAATGGTGAGTACTAGCAAATGCTACACATAAGTTTAGAAGATTCAAGGTACTTCAAATACAATTTAGTTGTTTCAATTGTGTAAAAGGTATCAACATGTAAAATAAGACTTCTGAAAGTCATGCCAAATGCGGAGAAGATTCTGTGGGTTAAACCCGTTCACTATAATGCGCTTAGCAAAAGTTGTTTCAATTGTGTAAAAGGTATCAACATGTAAAATAAGACTTCTGAAAGTCATGCCAAATGCGGAGAAGATTCTGTGGGTTAAACCCGTTCACTATAATGCGCTTGGCAAAAGAGCACCTTTCATACTTAAGTCTGCGCACCTCAAAAAGATTACTAAGCCCCAGAAATGTTGTTGCATAAATTGGTTTTACACCCAGTACGTGAAGGCACAACCCCACATAGACATCTTCGAGTGGAATTGGTTGCACAAATCTAGAGGCCCATGATATTTTTCTGGCCAGGTCAGTAGAAAAGACATATGCAGCTCCAGACACATATGGAGGATACCAGGTGTCTGGGTAAAGATCCTCTGAGATATACCATTTGTTGAAGCTGTCCCTGTGAGGAACAGCATCTGAGATGACGGATCCAGAGATGTAGTCTTTCCTGGAGGCCTCGCCCTGGTCATGCAGGTAGTCCACCAGGTAACGTACATTGAGAAAGATATCGGCATCGATCTTCATGGCATACCAAGCACCCCGGCAGTAAGTGGCTATCCAGTTCATAATCATCATCGTCTTGATTGTGAGATTATGGTAGCTGTCCACAAAGTCCATTTGAATGATGTCCCCATATTCCTTGCTCTCCCTCTCCAGGTGCTCCTGCAGTACTGGGTCACTTTGTGCGGGCTGACCAATGACAAACAAATGCAAAACGGTCACACGAGGAATCAAGCCATCTTGACCCCATGTCCTTCTAATAGCAGTCCTCGCCTCTGTGTCTTTGAGAGTCACTGGGATCATAAGAACCAGGAAAGGACTCTTCTTCTCACACAGTTCTGGTTGGTTCAAAATGAATCTGTATGTTGACGGTGAGATCACGTAGAGCTCTTTGGGTGTTGGAGTCTTCTTCGGAAGTATTGTTCTGTTAAAAACGAGGCTAGCTACAAATGTTATTAACCCAGCTACACCAAAGTACGTTAAAAGTTTATATCGCGATCGTTTTCCCATATTTAAGCAAAATAAACTGCACCACTAACGTAAGGGAAAGTCACAAAACCTAAATGTCATGTTCGCCGGTGTTGTGTCGAAGTCTGTTCCTCCTATGCTTCCCCTTAGTTTAGCGTTCCCGCTACGCAAACAGCGTACAGAGCACGCGCGTGTGCTCGTTCCACTGTTTCCGCTTATCTTTTTGTCATCTTATAATATTTACTATATTTTTAGGTATTGATCACAGGATCGATTTGAAGGTTTGGAAGGCTTTGCCGACTGCGCTGTATATGTATGAAATATAAATTCAAATAAATGTACAGCGTAGTGCTACCTCTAACAAATATGTTTTTCTTGTGTGTGCTTCTCAATCTCAGTTTAAAATAGTTTATTGGTTTTATATATATATATGTACACACACACACACACACACACACACACACACTGCTGTGAAAGAACGGGTCAGGAAAAGGAGGAGGCTGTGAATACAACAACTGGGGTCCTGGAGGTGAGCACCACAGCTGCAGAGGTTCAGTCAGCTTTAACTTCCCAGATGCGTCTCTGCTAAAGAGAGCCTTACTGACCCAGAGATGCTGCTCTTTTGGCAGCATCTGCTTCCAACCTTCTGGAAGTAAAACCTGTTGGAGAAAGGCAGAGAAAGAAGGTGGACATGCAGATGTTTTTGTCATTCTGCAAAATGGCCACACTTATCATTTGACTTACTTCTTCAGGAGGATCAGGAAGCTTTTCGACTGTTTGTGATTCCATTTGTGATGAGGGCTGGGCTGTCCATGAGGATCAGGATAAAAATAAATAGAAACATTAGTGATGTTTCAAAATTATTTTTTTTATAGAAAACCAAACTTAATGTTTCCATTTAGCCAAAGAACAAAACCTGAAACTAACGTTTCTGTAATAAAATAACCACAGAACTGCAATCTTTATGCTGTTTAGGATGTTGTGTTCTCAGATGATAAATGAAAAGTTGTAGTAAAGTTTTTTATACAATAGAGAATAGACTTGACTCTCAATATTTTAGACAAGCAATTTTTCTATATTGCTCCTAGCATCGTTTTTTGTCACGGTGAAGCGTGTCCACACTCCTAACATGTCATAACTTGTAGTTTATCCAAGGTATGCATGAAATAAATGCTGCCATTGGAGTAATGCTAATTAAATGTCATTGTTTTGGTCAACAATCAATCCTTTTTTTCATATTTTCAGTTGCTGAAGTTCAGGTGCATCACTAAAAAAAAAAGATGATGCCCAAAGAAAAGGCCTCATACATTTTGTTTCTATTTGTGGTAGCATTGCGAATAACATTACTGATATATGAAAATAAAACAATACAAAAACTTCTGTTACATTATTTATTTTAAGATGGCCTTGTTACAGTGTAATTACTCATTTAAGTACTAAGTAATATTAATTAACAACATGTACTTATATAATCATGGTTAGGATTAGGGTTTGGTTTAGGATTAGCTGCTTGTAATTATGGATAATTTACTGTTATTACTATAGTAAATATGTGTAACAAGGACACTGTAAAATAGAGTGTTACTGAAAGCTCTAACTTACTGGAAGACAAAAACACGACAATGACAAAAATCACTGGAGTAGTCAAGAGCTGGAGATGTCCACATACACTAAATGGACAAAAGTATATGGACTGTTGTGTCGAAGTCTGTTCCCCTATGTTTCCCCTTAGTTTAGCGTTCCCACTACGAAAACAGCGTACAGAGCACGCGAGTGTGCACGTTCTACTGTTCCCGCTTATCTTTTTGTCATCTTATAATATTTACTATATTTTTAGGTATTGATCACAGGATCGATTTGAAGGTTTGGAAGGCTTTGCCGACTGCGCTGTATATGTATGAAATATAAATTCAAATAAATGTACAGCGTAGTGCTACCTCTAACAAATATGTTTTTCTTGTGTGTGCTTCTCAATCTCAGTTTAAAATAGTTTATTGGTTTTATATATATATATGTACACACACACACACACACACACACACACACACACACAGAGACACACACAGAGACACACACACACACACACACACACACACACAGATTGTATAATATATAATACAATACATAGGCCTTTTATGCTTTTGAGGATATGTGCAAAATGACTAAATGTAAATGTAAATACGTGGTACTTTACCTATTTACTGCAAAATTATTCAACTACATCATTAGCTTGCATAATTATTATGTTTTTATAAAACAAATTAACTTAAATGATAATCAAATTTACAAATTCAAATTTTTAGTTGTATCTGGAAATTGATGATTGAACTTGTAGGAATTACAGTTTAGACAAACAGACTCACCATTGGATTCTGTTCCCCCTGTGTTTCTTATACAGGCAGGTTCTAACATTTACCAGACTGATGCTGGTGAAGCTCCATCCACATACACTGAAGAATCAGCAACGTCTGAGTCACTACATCAGCATCTCCCGTTACCATTAACTTTCCTTTATTAATGTATCCAGAAATAATTCAATTTCTCTATAGTGTATTTTTTTTATTTATTTGTTATAAATACATAAAATATACAGTTGTGCTCAAGATTATTCATACCCTTGGTACACTCTAAAAATGCTGGGTTGTTTCAACCCAACTTTGGGTCAAATATGGACTAACCCAACAGTTGGGTTAAATTTTTACATTAAATTTTTAACCCAAAAGTTGGGTTAGTCCATATTTGACCCAAAGTTGGGTTGAAACAACCCAGCATTTTTTAGAGTGTATATACAGTATGATCAAAGAAGGCTGTGAAAATAAATCAGAATTGTTTATCCATATGATCTTTCATTCAAAAATGTCCAAAAAATCTAACCTTTAATTGAAGTAAAAAAAAACAAACTAAAAAACAATGAAAGTGGGGGGAAACCACATTATGAAATAAATATTTTTCTATTACACAATGGCTACAATTTGATACTCCTAGAAATTCTTCTGATTAAAATATATCTGAAGTATATTCTCATTCATATTTGCATTTTTATCACACCAGGGTTAGGAACATGAAATTATCCAGCCATGGCTTCCTGTTTCACATGAATATATTAGGGAAGACAAGGGCCAAATTCCCTTCATCATTCATCACAATGAGTAAAACCAAAGAATATAGTTCTGATGTGCAGCAAAAGATTGTTGAACTTCACAAATTAGAAAGTGGATTTAAGAAAAGAGCTAAAGCATTGAAAATTC